ACTGAAAATATATTTTCTTACATCTTCCGGTAAGAGGTTGCATACTCTTCAATGTTCATGGATTCTTTTCCGGTAGGGTGACAAAATGACTGGCTTCAGTAATAAGGTATGTATGTTAAGTTTTAATGTTTTAAATGATATAACGTAGATCGTATTATAGAATATGTTTGTTTAATTTTGCATATTATATATAAAAACATGAAAAATACTTTTTTTAATTAGATAGTACGAATTTTCTTAGAAATATGTTCATTTATTGAGTCGTTTACACGTAAATCCGCGTACACGTGTTTTCTTACTTGTTTGCTCATAAATTAATACAAGTTCTATATTTCATTATTTTTAAATATTAAGATACTATTTATATAATATTGAAGAAATAATCTCATTTCATCAATTGATATTTGCTATTTGTTATTAACAAAAGTAATGATTGAATTTTTGTAAGTATTTTTTTATGACATTTAATAGTAAAAGAAAAATTATAACAATTATATTTTTTCAGCCAATATTAATTGATGGCCGTGGCCACTTACTTGGTCGTTTAGCAGCAATTATTGCTAAAACGATTTTACAAGGCAATAAAGTAATTGTTGTTCGTAGTGAACAACTTAATATTTCTGGTAATTTCTTCAGGTTTGTATAATTGGATATATTTATCAAATTATAACTAAATATGGAAAATATTTGTATAATATATATTTTTTCTAATATTATTTATAATTATTGAAATATATTTCATTAAACATTTTTTTATTTTAGAAACAAGTTAAAGTTTATGTCCTTTCTACGTAAAAGATGTAATGTTAATCCGGCTCGTGGACCATTTCATTTCCGTGCTCCCAGTAAAATACTTTGGAAAACAGTTCGTGGTATATTTCAATTATTATAATCATGAATTTATTTCACTATATTTTATATTTTATTAAAAATTTTATTATAAATTATATTTTATTAATGATTATATATTACCTACATTATTTGATAATATAATGAAAAAGATACTTATATGAGGTTATTTAATATAAATTATTAAGAAATTTAATATATATATTTTGTAGTGTTAAACATATTGTTTAATTCATAGGAATGATTCCACATAAAACACAAAGAGGAAAAGATGCTCTCAGAAGGTTGAAAGTATATGAAGGTTGTCCACCTCCATATGATCGTAGGAAACGTGTTGTAGTACCAGGTGCTATGAGAGTCATGTGTCTTAAACCTGGCAGAAAGGTATGATAAAATAATGATTTAAAAAAATATAGAATACTGCTGCGCTAATTGGTTAGAATTTCTTATCTTAACTGATTTTTTTTATCATTTTGTTATACATTCTACATTCTGAATAAAACCTAAAAAAATAAAATTAATAAATTTTTTAGATTTTAAATATTATTTCACTTTATCTTTTTATTCTATTATCAAAATAAAAATCATCTTTCATCATTTTACAGTAAAGGAAATCCTTATTGATTGATTAAATTCTATCCTAATTTTAATTAGTTACCAATTAATATATGCAGCATATATTTGTACTTATTATTTTATTATATATAATTATTTAATTTTTTTCCACAATGATGGTATGGTAATTTGCGCCTGAATATAATTATTTTATATTTAGTGATGTCATATTTAACTGAGTAAATAATAAGAAAATATCTATAATTATTATTATTATATTAAAAAATTATGATATTAACATAACAATTTTTTAGTACTGTCATGTAGGCAGATTATCTCATGAAGTTGGATGGAAATATAAGGCTGTGGTACGTACATTGGAGAATAAGAGACGTGTTAGATCAATTCTTGAAGTTCAAAAGAGAGATAAACTCAAGGTACATAAACAATATTATAAACATAAATATCAAAAGAATTATTTCTCATATTTTTTTTCTTTTTTATTTTAGAAACTTACTAAACAAGCTGGACAAACAGTTGCAAAGGCTACTGCACCATACACGGCAATTATTAATAATTTTGGATACAATTAATATAAAAATTATAAAAATAATAAAGTTCCATAAACATTTTATTTTGAATTATTATTATATTTCAAATTATCATAATTATATATATTTAATCCTTTAATAATATAATAAAATTAGAAAAAATTGAAAGCAGGCAACTTAGAAAATATTTTTTTAATATAAAAATTTTTGAAATATTTGCATGCTTTTTTTTAGAAATCATGACATTAAATTTGTACAATATTTATAATATATATAAGATATGTGTAACATGTATTAAGAATTTATATATTGATCTTAATATATGTGTACACTAATTATATTATTAAATTTTTATTCTTGGAAATAAAAAAAATTTGGTATGCTATCTTTTCTCGGATTATGTTACAAAATCAAAAATAATTTTTATAATTTTGTATTAAAATATATATTTGCGAGATCATTATCATTTCAGAGATTGTAAAGAAATATAATATCTATATTTTTTACATTAAAGATTTTTGTACTTTTGAAAGAGAAATGAAAGTGTGTTCATCTCTATGATACACATATGTCAAAAGTAAGTTTAAATAAGGAAATAATGAAAAAAAAATAAAGATATCTAAAAAAAAAAATTCAGAAATCAATATCATTTTTTGAATATTTTTGGAATATCTTTCACATTTAAGAAATAAATTAATTCTTATCATTCTCTATCCTTTTTTTACTATTTGTTTGTCCTTTCTTTATGTCTTATTTGCGGCATTCTAGAAATAGCACAGTATTTTTATTCTATTTCTATCTTTTTTCCATTATTTTCTCTTTGTTCATATTTTATAAAATTTATGCGCGATAATAAATTGCTTTTGATAAAACAATAAATGCATTAAGTGTAGAACTATTTTATTTCAATAATTCAATTTGAATGTTTAATAAAATGATATACATATTTTTATATCTATAAAAATATATATATTTTAATATCAAGATTTTCTTAAAATTTATTATAATAAAATTTAACAATTTATTTATAAATATATTTATAAAATATTTATATATATTTGTACAGACAATATAATATAAATTAACTTTCTATACTATCTACTGTAAAAACAACAGTTCTTCCTTTATCATTATCTTCTTCATCATGCACTTCATTTTCTTCTTCGTCTTCTGAAGTAAAAGAATCAGATTCTTTCTCATCTCTTAGATAAGTATGTATATTTTCAGGTGAAGGACCAATATTGTGCAAACCAAGTTGCTCAGCTAATCTTTCTGCTGCATGTTTAGCTTGAATTTCCTAAAAATAATATAGTTTTATATTATAAATATAGTAATTTTTTCTATCATTGATTTTATACAAATAATAACAAGATATAAAAAAGTTAGTTACTTGTAATCTTTCTGTTTGTTCTTTTTGTAGCTTTAAAGATTCACTTAAATTTATAATTTTTGCTGCATCATGAATTATAAGTGGAGGTGTTGCTGCTGTAACTTCCCAATATTTATTCTGTTTTCTTTGCTTTTCTCTTTTTGGATCATGTACATTAGATTTAGTTGTTTTATATGGTTTAAATAATTCTTTTTTTTTATTTTCATTTTCTAGAATTTTTTTTTCTATTTTATTGACAATATATGTAATATGTTCAGTAGCTTCTATTTTAAAAGATTCTATTTCTGCTAAATCTTCTGGTTTAATTAAGCTTTCATTTGATGGTACATGTATAATTTTTTTTTTATGAACCCCACATCCTGTAGGCTAATAATAGCAAACAATAAAAATTAAAATAAATAATATAATATAATTTTTAAAATATAAAATATAATATAATTTTTAGAAATATAAAATTAACCTGTGCTAATATTTTTAAGGGATCTTCTTCATCATCACTATCAAGTTCAATAATTTTAGCAGTATCTTTGATTTCTTCATATTTACCTGTCCATTCTAATTCATTCATAGCAACTTTACCTTCAGATGCCAAATTTAATCTTGATAAAAGATTAGCTGCCTTTTCAACTTCATTTCTATGTTCTATTTCTTTTAATATTTGATTATGAAAAGATTTTATTTTTTCTCCTTTATCTGGAAGCTTTAATATAAGTGTACTAGAAAAAAAAATAATTTCAAAAAGTAATCTAATGATATAAGCTATAACTTAAATTTTACTTACTTATTATTAAGAATTCTATTTTGCCTTTCTAATAATTCTTCCAATTCAAACTTCTGTTTCTTTCCTAAATCTTCAATATATCCTTGATTTTCTTTTTTAAAAGGAGGCGGTAAATTACCTGGTATTTTATTAATTATTTTTTTCTGATACATTTTTCTTTTATATGTAATTTTTTAAAATTATAAAAATTGAAATATTTTAGAAAAAATCTATAATATAATATCTGTAAATGTAAAATTAAAATATAAATTAATCAATTTTTAAATACATTTAAATTAAGATATATTAAAATTAAAAGACTAATAAATTAGTAGCTATAATCAAAATAATAATATATATATATATAATATATCATAAAATAATAATATATTATTTTACATACAATAATTTATTAACCTTTATAGAAATATTTCTATAATTATGAAAATGTAATTTTGCTGCTAAGAGTTATTGTTTGTATTTATAAGAATTATTTTAATATATTTTTGTATTTTAATATATATTATAATTTTATATCGAAAGTTATAAATTAATTATTATTACATTCTTTACTTACAAACTTAATTTAGAAATTAAATAATTTTTATTGCACAGAAGACTGCAACAAACAATATATTGAATACGAGATATCGAAGTCTATAAAACTATCGATATTACATGACATGTTAAACGAAGATTTCAATTCCAACCTCAATGGAATTTGTTTAAAGGATTGAAATAAAATGTTAGATTTATTATATTATGTTGAATTTCTATCTATTTGTGACGGATAAAACTATTATTTTTAATTTAATAAAGAAAAAATATTGAAATATTAAATATTTTATTTCAAGATAAACTGAAAAATAATTTTTGTATAAAGTAATAAAAGTGACGTAAAGTTGTAATGATTAAAAGCAAGTTCGCGAAGCAACTGCCAATCTTTAGAAATGAATTGCAATGGGGGGTCGTCTTTGGGTGGTGAACATAGATCAGATATCTTTATGGATATTAAACCAATTATTACATGTAAGTTAATTAATTAAAATTCTAATTATTTAACCTCTTTCTGATGACACTTTTAAGTATTGTTATTTACATCTTCTATGAACTATCAATTTTCATAATATTTTTCTTTTTTTTTAATTAATAATATTTATGATATTAAATTATATGTTCAAAACTATACAATGTACAATAAAAATTTTTGTTACAATTAAAATCTTTTTAATAATTTTACATTTATTATTTTAATGAACATATGTTATTTTAAATAGGTTAACATTTTTTTTATAACAAATATTTTTCTATATATTACAATTTGTTTTTATTAAATTATTATTAAATATATTATAGTTTTTTATTTTAATCATACTCATTAAATAATATATATTATACAATACATAATGAAACTTTTTATTATTTTTATTTATATTATTTTAATTTATTCTATTTATTTTTATAATATAGATGCAGGAGATGATAAATTATTTTCTACATTGGAAAATAGTTTGTTTCAAGCCATATCTGCTGATATGGTAGAATGGCGTAGATCATTTAGTAGACCAATTAAACAAGTTAAATTAGGAGCAACATTTTTGCCATTTTCCAAAGATATTTTACCAACTGAGAAAGATTGGCATCTTATAAAACAGCCAATATTTCATATTTATTGGACTGAATGTTCTGTAAGTAGATTATTATAATTTTTTAAATATTTTATAAGTAAAATTTTTTTATACTTAGATATTTGTTTCATATTTTTCTCATTATTGATATTGAGATTACAGGATGTAGATACTTATAAATCAAATATCAGGGAAGACATAGATAATTGGTTGAAGATATTAACACAATATCACATTCAAGATTGGATGATTATTATAGTAGAAACTTATGATATAAAAAAAACTAATAAATTATTACCAAGAACAACAGTTTTAGATAAAATTCGTAGTGATTTTGCTGCAAAGAATGGTGATAGGTGAAGTAATAATTAATTGATAAATATTTAATAAACATATTTTATATATTATTTCTTTTTATTATATATGTTATATATTTATTATTATATATGTATATTTATTATTTCATATCAAATGTATTTTATAGATGTTGTGCTGTTATAAATCCAATAAAATCAGAAATGCGATCAGCTGAATCATGGAGAAGTTTAATTAACCGTATACGTTATTTAATGCTTGTTGCATATGATAAAAGATTATCTCATTTTGAAGATATTATTAGAGAACAAAGAGAAAATAGAAATCATCCAAATTGGAATTTTTGTCATTATTTCTTATTACAGGTAAATCAAGATTTATATTTTTAATAATTATTTTTGTATTTTATGATATATAATTCTGTAATTTTCAATCATAATTCACTTTTCAGGAAGAGCTTGCATTTGTTTTACAAATGTTAGGATTATATGATGAAGCATTAGTACAGTATGATGAATTGGATGCTCTTTTTACACAATTTGTTCTTAATTCCAATGTAGGAGGTATATTATTTTGTTTTTTACATTGTTTTTTTTATTATTTATTTTTAATTATAAAATTAATTTATTATTTAAAAATTTGTAGATACACCAATTTGGTTAAATTTATTTCAAACTCCATTAAACAATTGGGGTGGTGTTAATTTAAGTAATGGTATAAATCATCATTTAAGAAATCTTTTGGCTGAATGCAAAGCATCATTATTAGATCTTAGAAGTTACTTATTCAGTAGACAGTGTGCCATGTTATTATCACTTAACAAACCATGGGAAGTAAGTATAAAATAAAATTTTTATTCACAAAAAGCTTGATTTCATTGTGAATATAAATATATAACTACAATTCAATTTAGGTTGCGCAAAGGTGCTTATCATTTGTTCATAATACATTAAGCGAATTACGTATATTAGAAGTTCAACGACCTGAAGGGTCTATTGAATGTTGGTCTTTTCTTTGTGCATTAGAAGTATTGCAAGCTTGTCAATTATCATCTTATAATATCGATAATAATCAACAATTGGATCTTTGCTCCTTACATACAGCTAGTTTATGGGCTCTTGCTAGAGATAAAGTAAGTTGCTAGAAGTATTAATTGTATAATTTTCTTAATTATAGAATTTCAAATAAATATTAGTTTATATAAATATTAATTAATAACTATATAAATATTAGTTAATTATATATTTTTTATGTAAGTTTTATTTCAATATTAACTATATAATTAATCTTTATTATAATTTATTTTAGTTGGGAAATTTAGGAAAATTATGTGGATTAATGCCAGGAAATGAACCATCTAGTGAACAGTTACATACGGTTGTTTATTTAATAGCTGGTATGGGAGATTCTGAATCACATTTAGAGGGTAAATTAACACCTACTGATAAATTAAAAGAAGCACTTTCATCAAAAGAAGCATTTAAAAAACAATATCTTGAACATGCTGAATTGGCTATGGGTACCTATAAACATGTAGGTCGAATTCGATCAGCCAGATTAATTGGGAAAGAATTAGCTCAATTTTATAGTGAGCTTGGGGAAAACCAAAAAGCTGTTGCATTTTTATCAGATGCTTTAAAAACGTATACTGATGAAGGTTGGAGTCATTTAGGAGCTCAAACTCAACTTGAATTGGCACAATGCTACAAAAGAATGGATGATGTTGAGAAATATACAAAAATATGTGCTGCAATTGCTAGTTTAGATGTATTACATATTACTGTACGAAATACCTATTTTGAAGAAATGTTTGGATATATGAAAATGATCTCATCGCCACAACCTTTATTCATAGAATTTGGATGTGCTTTTGTGATACATAATATGGAAATTAAAGTGATGGATAAAATTGTTCAAGACTGTGTAGTTAATATTGAAATAAATATACAAAGTTTATTTCCTAGAGAAGTAAATTGCACTAAAGCATCTATATCTGTTGAAGAAATTCAAAAACCTTTAATATCTAATAAAAAAAAAGGTTCAAAATTAACACCTGAACTATTAATACCATTGTTATCAAAATGTACTTTAGAAGATATGAAACCATTTGATCCAAGTTTACTTCAATTACAAGTATATTCATATTTAGATTATAAAGAAGATAAAAGTCTCGGATCTGCTAGTGTTATACATAAAAACACTAAGCCTATTGTAAGACGTTCTGATAGTACAAAACATAGAAAACCATCTGTAAATGCAAAAGGTGATTTTAGCAAAGCGTTATTATGTGATGAATTCATTGTAAAACCAGGTATGAACACATTTACATTAACTAGACGTGTTGATCAACCTGGTTTTTACAAAGTTGGTCAAATATCATTAGTTATTGAAGAAAAATTGGAATTTTTATCTCCTATTTTAAATCCTCGATTGTGTTACGAAGTAGCTAAAACTCAGCCTATAATTTCCATGAAATGTGGTAGAGATTTATTGGCAGGCCTTATTCAAGATATAGAACTAGTTATTATGAGTGGAAGTATAAAAATAACAAAGGAAATGAAACTTAAATTACGTACGTCTAGGGGATTAATAATAAAAGTTGATAGCTCACAAGAAATAATGTCTAAAGAATTAGAAATATCACTGCCACTTTGTGAGCCATTTCAAACAATACAATTAAAATTTAAAGTTTTAGCCGAATTACCACCAAAGAAAGATTCATTATCAATAGAACATAAGGTACTTTTTTTATATATTTGTATTATTTTAATGATCAGAATTATGTATATAAATTATATATTATAAAAAATTATATGTATAAAAAGAAAAAATAGTTATAAATATTTATGTACTTTTTAAATATTAATATTAATATTAATTAAATATTTGTATATTATTGTATATTATCATTTTTATAGTTGAATATACAATGTCCATGGGGTTTAGAAGAAAGCATTCCTTTACATTTTGGTCCACCACTTATGTCAAATATGAAACTTCATACAGCAAAACAAAGAAAATTTCTTCAAATAATTGTAACAGGATTAACAAATCATCTTCTACAATTAATTGAACCAGAATTAACAACAGTAACATCAATAGATGTTAATTTTAAAAGTTTAAATCCTATTGCTGGTCAAAGATTAGTAATAGGTAATGGAATAAATGTATCATTTATGTGGGAACTTGAAATTGGTAAAGATGAAAAGTCTTTGATGCCAATTAAGACTGATTTTCGTGTAAAATATATATCAATCAATGATACTGAAAATCTAAATGATTCACATACTAATGATGATCCTTTGCAAATTCATAATTTACAAAGAATGGAAAAAGCATCCAGTCTTTACAGATGCAATTTTGATATTACAGATTATGTGGTAAGGGTATAATTATTTGATTTTTTTTTAATGTATATGAATTAATAAATTTATAGTTTATGTAAAAATTTCTTTAATTGATAATTTAATTAAGTGTAAAATATAAAATTTATTTTAAAAATATTTCAAAAAGGTGAGTTTCTATTTATAATATCATTTCCAGACTTTATTTACAGTGTCTTCAAAAGTTGAAGCAGCTGGAAATGGAGGTGAATTTTGTCGTGCTGGTAGCATGTGCCATCTTTATCTTACAGTAACACGTATGTTACCTAGTCCAAATCCAAATCCTTCACCACAATTAATGTATGAGGTTCTTGCTGATCAAGCTATGTGGGCTGTGTGTGGTCGTACTGCTGGTATTGTGTCTTTGGAAGTATTAGAAAAACAAAGTGTCACATTGGACGTGATGCCATTAACTAGTGGTTATTTACCTCTTCCTATTGTTAGATTGTCTCGATATATTCCTGCACCAGAATCAAAAAGTGGTAAGTGTTATAATATATAATATATAATATATTAAAATTTATAATAAAATTTAATATATATATATTTATATATAATATATAATATATTATACATATTAATATAATTTTTATATTTTTACAAATTTATATCACGAACATTTATTAACTTTTTTAAGATATGATTCGTAAAAGTGAAATAGTTTCTAGTTCAAGACTAGAACCATTTAGTCCTGGTCAAGTTTACAATGCTAGTAAAGCACAGCAAGTTCATGTTTTACCAGCAGCACCTTCAGAAGCAAATTGAATGCAGATATTGGTATTAAAAATGTATAATACATCTATGGCATTATTAAGTGCAAATTGTATGTATATTTATCAAGTCAGTTTTTATGTTCTATTTGGTATATTTCTATGATACTAATTAATATTATTATTATTAATTTATTAATTACTTTATTAAGCTTGTTTATGTTTTTATATTTTTTTAATTGAAATTTGAGTTTTGGACAAACAGAATTTATATATATTGTTTGAAATTATATGTTTATATAATGTTTGTTCAAAAATCAAATTTTAATATGCATCACTGTATAATAATAAGAAATTATAAACTTAAGTTCTGCTATTAAAAAGCAGAAAAACAATATGACAATATTTGAATAGTAAATCAAATTCCAAAGTTTTTTAGTTCTGTAATACAACTATAATAATATGATCTTTTTTTCATACAATAATGTGATTTATGTTTTAGCAAATTTATTAAATAATGTTAATTTTTTAATATTGTTATGTAGTCCACATATAATATTCAATCAATATATTTTCTTATTCAATTTAATTCAAAACAAATCGTAAAAAAATTTATTATTTTAATATATGTACTTATAATTTTTTCATTATGTACATATAATAGCATAATTATCTTAAATTGTTTTTTTTAAATATTTAATTTTTGATTAATGAATGATTTTTATGAGTTAAATTTATGATAAAATATTTATGATAATATTATTTGATTTTGAAGCTCTTAGAAATTATTTTAATTGTAAGATGATTGAATATTTTTTTATTGAGTACAATTCTGTAAAATCTGTATAAAAGTTTATCAAGAATATACTCATAATATTGAATAAGGATTTGAAATTATACATAGTTTGTATAATATAAACAATATAAAAATATCAAGAAAAAATAATTAACATCTCAAGGATAAAGATGTTGTGTTCTATAATAAATATTTGTGAAAAATGTAAGTATATGTAAGTATAAAAAGAACAAGAAATATTAATAATATAAATATTATTTATATTATATTTAGTTCTTAGTTTCATTGTTCAAAATATAAATATTGCAAAAGGTATCGTTATATTGCCATGTTAATTAAGAAATTGCCTTTTGATTTAATAAATATTTCCATTTACCATGTAAATAAAATAATTATTATAATACTCAATATAATATTTATATGTTAGAAAATGTTAAAATTCGACATTTATATAATATAAAATAATATTTTTCAATGATATAAAATATATTGGAAAAATATCATGGAAAAGTTTATTTCTATATTATTTATTAATTAATAGATAGGTATAAAACATTATGGATAATTCAATAGATATATATTCAAATTTATTTGAAATTAAATCCATATGTATATTTTTAATTATTTTTAATGCAAAATATTAAATTTCATTTTTATATGACAAAAAATGAAGATACACACAGTAATCAGACAGATCAATTGTGTATTTATTGTTATTTTGCATTTTAAATTTAATATAATATATATAATGAAAATTGTAATATTATAAATTATTAATACAAGTTGAAATTTGTATTAATAATTTTATTGTATTTGTATAAATCCAGAAAAATTTTAATTTGTTTAATAATATAAGCAATTATTCATAAAATTCTAAAATATTTCTGACATAATGTTAAGATTATGAAAATGTTAGTTTTATGTAATCCCAAGATTAATTATTTGATAAAATTGTATCCTACTCAAAATAATTACATATTGTACAATAAATTAAAATATAATTTTTATTTTTTATATGTACATGTTAAGATGAATTAAATTCTGAATAAACAATTTTATTAAATAAAATGAATAATTAATCCATTATATATAAAATATTTATTGTATTTCAAATATAATTTATATTAAATACAGATAAAATGATATTTAAATTATTAAATGAGAAGTTATAAACAAAAATTAAATCTTTCGTGTAATATTTCAAAAAATAAATATATATATATTCTAGACATATATATTTTAAAATTTATGTTATATTTATTATTATAATATCATTTGTATACAATATATGAATATATGATTACATATAAAATTATGTAAATATTAGTAAGTAGGTGCTGGTTGTTGCGTGAGTAACAAACCGAATCTTCTTTTTAATGTTATTCTTTCTCTTGAGTATTTATCTTCTGGAGAAAATCGAGCTATAATCATTTTCTTATTATTATTATTGTTATTATATATTTTATGAAATATTAAATTATTTCATCATTTTATAAAATAAAATAAAATCTATTTACCTGGATGGGCTGATAATGTCGGTTTTCCATTTGGATCAATTTTCTATGAAACAAAAATAAAGAATAAGGTTATAAATATAAGATTATAAATATATATTATATAAAGCAAAAAAATTTAATGTTTTCATTTGTTAAAAGAGCATAATATATAAGTAGAAGAAAAGAAATTCATTTTGGATTTTGGAGTAATAAATATATATAAAAATTTAATAAAATAAAAAAATGTATTTCATATTTATTACTTTTAATGTGTATACTCGATTTCCATCTTCATTTAAATAATACATTAAATACATTTTTGTATTTTAATTTTTATTTAAATTTATATAACTTATGTTTTATGTTTGTTTTTAATTTCAGCCTCGTGGTCAATCGTTTTTTCTATACAGTTTTGACGCATGCGTAGAATGTATCGAAAATAACTTGATCGATTACGCAGATCGATTCATGCGATTTTAAATTTAAAAACTTTCAATTAATAAAAAGAATCAAATTAAGATAATTTAATTTAAAAATAACTCTATATTTTAATAACAATTTTTTAAAATAAAAATTAATTTTAAATTTAAATAAAGCGTATTTAACAATATAAATTAAAAAAAAATAATTTTAATGATTAAATTTCATATTTCATAAATTGCTATTTAATAATTTAATAATATTTAAAATAATATTTTTTCATATGTATTTTTACGTAAATTATTTTAATTTTTAGTGAATTTTTTATTTATTTTATTTATTATTTACAAATTGTTGTAAAATTTTGATTTCAAATAACTGATAACAATTTTATATTATATTCAATTTTAATTTTAGCTATGTTGATATTATACATTTTGAATTGATAGTGAATGATATTTTTTCTACTAACAGAGAAGAATTTAAATATAATTCGTGCTTGTGTCTCGTGGATGAAAACTCTCATCGTTCATACATGCAACTAATAGATCCGTGGGTGTAAAAGTTCTGACAATTCTTCTTACCAAAGTCGACATTCAAACACGCATGGTCGATGTGACGAACCATCAGATAGTCACAATATAGAGTGTTACTTCCGTTGACAAGTAAATCATTGTCAGTGTGAAACGAGTATTGCCCGTAACAGTATATTTAGTCGTAGTTCTAATCATAGTTCTCGTTTTTATAAATATTTTTCTAATGTTTCTCGACGATATTTAAGGTACTTATATGTTTATAAATTCATGTTCATGGAATGATAATTTACGATTTGATTTAATTTGCTATTGTTATATTTAATCATTAATATCTAATCATTAATACGCATATTAATTTCATTTATGATAACTTAATTTAAACAGTAAAAATGAATTGAAAAAAATTTTTTTAAATGCAATTATATAATTTTTATATAATAAATTTCATTTATTTAATTTTATATATTGATTTTATTATCGTTTCTTATTTTTAATAATTTATTCAACTTAGTAAGAAGAAATTAAAACATATATTTATTATTAAAAAAACTATTGACATATTTTAACTTATAAAAAGTTATATTTATTTAAGATTGAAATTATGTTTGAGAAAGTTTACTCAAATTGCATTATCTATAGACATTTTATCCATAAAAAATAATCATATATTGATATTGATATATTGATTAAAACTAACGTGAAATATTGATTTTGATTGTAGTTTGATATATTGAATTATAATATTATATATAAAAAATTCTATTTTATTATAAACAGAATTTTTTTTTCTAAACATTCACAATGAAAATTGTATATTTTTATAGATGCAACCAAGAAAAATTCGTTGGATTATTCAAATTGAAGAAAATCCATGGCAAGGTGAGAGCGTCGAGGAGCAAATTTCTTGCATTAAAGGTAATATCGTAATTTAAAATTGACAAAATATATATAATTTATATTTATGTATATATACATACATATTGTTTTATATATTTGTTTTATATATATATATATACATGTATATAAAACAAAAGTTTTTTATAACACAAAATTTTTTATAATTTGATAAATAAATAAACAAAATAAATAAAATAAATTTACTTATATAAATTGTTAATGGATTCACTAAAAAAATAAAACAAAGTATAAAGCACTTTGTTACATAGTATCGATAAAACATACATACTCTTCATTCATTTGCTAGGAAAACATACTTATTGGTGCTATATATCATTTACGTAATTATATATATAAATAGCAGTGATCAACACGATCACGTTTCATTCCACGTTTCACCTTGATCTGTAATATAAAAATATATAATAAAAAAAAAAATTATTACATATATATCCATAAGTAGTTTTTTATAATTAATATAATGATCGAACTATAGATTCATTAAAAAATTTTTTCAAATAAAAATTATTATAATAATATGCATATTATTATTATATGCAATGTTATTATTATAAATAAAAACTAATAAAAATATATTTAAAAGAAATCTTATGTATGTGATCATATTTTAACATTATATATTTTTATGAATTATAAATTATATTATCTTTTTTACGCGATTTAAATAGAATAAAACTTAATATCATTGATGTACATTATTATTTGATGAAATTTCAATTTATTAATTTCAAGAATATCTTGAACTATACTTTTAAACACCCAATATATTATAATTTAATAATTTATTTAATAATAATATTTCTATAATAATTATTAACAATAATAATTAGTAGACAACAATGATCTTATCAATTATTTAATAACTTCAAAAAATATTGATAAATCAAGATCCTCAAATTTGTTTTTATTTATTTTATTTTGTTTTTTTTGTTTTTGCTTTTTATCCTTGTTATAAGAAATATCAATTAATTCCTTTTTATATAGAAATAGCAGAAAATCTATATAAACTCTATATAAAATCGAATATTTTAATTTCAAACTATTAATTTTTTAAGTATTTTTTATATTAGAGAATTTAAAATATTTCGGGTTTATTTTTTTAAATACGAAAATGAAGACTGTATAATGTTTTTAAATCAAATATAGTTATATTTAATTTTATGTATGTGTTAATATAACATCAAAATTACTTTTCGATGTTTGAATAAATTTAATATTTGATGCGTCGGCGCTAACTTCCAGAAAGAAGATCGCCTACGAGACAAGCTTCTCAACCTTGCAGTATCGCGATAGACTGCACCGAAAGAGGTTCTTTACGAAATTCGTGCGATTATATTTTATCATTCTATTTATAAGAATTTCACTTATCCAGATTCAATTATGGATGTATTAATAATTTGTCTTTAGTAAAATATTCAATTCAAACTTCAATTCAAATGAAATTAATAAATTTTTAAAAACAGAACTACATAATGTTAATATATTTTTTAAAAACTATAATAACTACAAATTGAATATATTATTTATTAAAATGAATATATTTATTAAACCTATAATAAAATATTATTATAATAATTTTTAATAATTTAATCATAAATATTGAAAATTTGATTTATGATACTCTTCAAATTTTATATAAAAAATGAATTATAGTGTATAATTTACAAATAAAACATTTGAATATTTTAGCATAATTATTAATAAGAATTCTTATATTGAGTTGAAATATAGTTTTCAATATTATAAAAGAAAGTGTGATTTGTTTTATATGGTGCATAGCACATAGTAATATATAATATATACAATGATTTTAATAATCATATGTGTCATAAATTATGTGTTTTAAAATAAATAAGTGTAAGATATTTTCTGTGATTTTAAATGCAAATACAAGTGGGAAGAAGTATGGATGATGATATTTGTAAGTATATTAAATAATAAAATTAAATAATTAATTTGTTTATATTGTCATAAAAAATTTTTATTTCATTTATATCATTTTATTATTTATTATATTATTTAACAAAATCATGATAGATATATATGATTATATTATTATAGATTAGATGAATAAGATATATAAATGTGTGTGTGTGTGTGTGTGTGTGTGTGTGTGTGTGTGTGTGTGTGTGTGTGTGTGTGTATACATATATCTAAAATTGAACAAATTCGAAGAAGAAAAGACGACGCTGTGGGAGGTCTCTGATACAAAGATGTAAATGCATTTCCTAGAATTACACTAATCTTATTACATATCGATTTTGCTTAATTTTTAGACTATTGAATTATGGAAAATACATTTATTGAAATATAACGATTGGAATCTTAAAATTAAAATAATTATTAAAACATTTATATTAATTTAATTTTTTTTATTGAATTTATTCAGATTAGGTTACAGATTATTATTTCTAGTTTTGTTATACTAATTTTGATATTTATATGAAATATTATTTGTGAGATAATAATAAATAAAATCTAAAATTTTTATTGACCTATACGATTCACCTCTTTCTACCTGTTTCATTCTAATGTTCCGTGCGAGAGAGACTACTTCTTTCGATTTCTGAGATCCTGTTTACCTGTGATACATTGGGCCTTATGGTTCGCGAGAAAGAGCCTGGGGGCCTGTTTCAGTACTTGTAGATTATAATTTTTTTATTTTCATGAAACTTAAAATTATAATCAATTTTTTATAGTACGGTAAAGGCAAGTTTTTAATAAATTATTGATTGACATTTATTAATTTTCTATAAGCTATATCAATATATTTATCATATAATTATATACATGCTATTTACTTTATAAATGCAATGTTAAAATATAATAAAATTGATTTTTAAATCTATAATTTTGATTCAATAAATTATTAAATAATTTTAATATATTTTAATTAACTAATTGGATCCAAATTTTTAACATTCCTTTATATTGTTTTTTTATGTGAACAATAAATAAAATCTCACGATATATTAGGGAAAGGGAGAACCATTCAAAAATAAAGGAAAGAACAAAATAATCCATAGAAAGAAGTGAGACAAAAAGACATATACATTGCTAGAGGGCGGGTAAAAGAGGGGGAAGTTGGGCCTTACTTGTTCAGAACTCCGAGGTTGCCAGTTTGCTCGAGACTCGGCTGGTGTGTAGTTCGTTCGGCAGTTTATTGACGTTCATATGAAAGTAAGAACGTCTGTATTTTTTCCTTTTATATTTTCGACTTACGAATTAGCTATTGTTTATATTCTTTTCATCTCAATATTATTGAATATTTTTCTTTCTTTATCTCTCGCCGTGTTTGATATTTCTTCGCATGAAAAAGCAACGATACTGTGACTTCACATATAAGTTCCAATCAAAGATTGTAAAGGCATAAAAGAAACGCCATCGTTAGTAGTAATAAGATAAACAAGGAAGAGAGATAAAAAGAAAGAGAATGTGAGAAAAAAAGAAAAATCGCACGAGAAAAAGAGAGAGAAAGTTAAAAGTTCATGTGTGTAAGTGACGACGTATTTGCGCATACGGGTACAGTGGTCTTCTTGACAGTGTAGAATCAACAAGTGTCGCGTAAGGATCGCTGTTGTCGCGCGTTATGCGCGCACGATTCTAACCTCATCATCGAAATCGGTTCGAAATTTGGTTCTATTCATTTTATAGTTAACAATTGTTATTATTCCCAGTGTTAGTTTTTTATTCTTACATAGTGGAATTTGTGATAATCTGTATTTAGCATATTAATCGATGTGATATTTTGTGCTTTTCACTAACGTGCCCTTGGATATTGTTACGTCGCCGATTCAGTGACTGCGTCTCTACAAAATCTCAAGATGGAAGTCGTTTACATAGGTATGTCAGTTCGCAATTATGATTTTATTGTACGGAATCTTTTGAATATTGTTACTTTTACTTTTGATTGTCTTTTACGTTAAAGGTTAATATCTTAATTTATTTTTATTTTTTGATTATATCTTATATGTCATATAATATCTTAATATCTTGATATTGGCTAAGAATTGTCTGGTATTAAAAATTTTATTTGAAAGTAAGAAAGCCGGTAAGAAAATAAGAAATTTATTTGAAAGTAAATCGTTTATCTCGATTTCTTTTTAAATTTAGTTTATATTAAGCTATATTCAAGATTATATATTAAAGAATAATCAAAAATTTAACATTGTAAATATTAATAATCAATTTATTAAGATTAATTTTGTTGTTGTTAAAATTAATTTTTATATTATTTATATACATTATAATTTGAATAATATTTTTCATATTTATATATATTTGATAAAATTTTAATATATTTTATATATGAAAACTTAAAAAATATATAATAAATATAAGTATATATAAAATATTAGCTAAATTATTTCATTATTTATGTATATATTTTTCTATTCTCATCATCAGTGGGTAATGAGGTTATCTGTATCCTAAGGTATACTTTATCTAATCGACGAAATATTTATTCAGCATATGTGCAAAATGCATATATGTTATATGAAGAAAGAGGTATGGAACACGTGTATGTCAAGAATGATAACTGGACTGCGTAAGTGGCATCATTTAGATTAGAATGCGCGCTTCATGTAGTAGTATTAAATTCGATGAACTTATACATTGTATACGTATTTACTATTCATAAAATATGAAAGTTGGAATTTCGAGAAAACTATATACGTATAATTTAATTCAATTATATTTTCAAAAATGCAATTTTAAAATTTTTAATTTGATTAATTTTCATAATTTGATTTTTACATATTTGTTTTCTTTTATAATAATAAAAGAATTAATCTTTATATTGCATTAAATATATCACAGACACTTTAATAGGTTAATATGTATTTATCGACAGAATTTCTAATTACTAGGTATGAGAACAATGGGGTATTCTTGAGGAAAAGACTGAAATCTCATTCGTTAAATAATTCGCGTAAAATTAATTGTATTAATTGACTTATTAACGCATAAATGATTATATGATTGTCACGGTAATTAGAAGGCATAATTTCATTTTCTACCTGCTTAATTTTATTATGATGTAGCCCGAATTATCGTTGATGTAATAACTGTAATAACTCGTTTTTGATAAATTTATCACTGTTCAATTTTCATTATAAATTCAAAACTCAAATCATACATTTGTTAAAATAATAGATTCTTTGTTTTCTTCATTTCAATGAATCTATTTTAGTGATAGACAAAAATCGATTGTATATTTTTAATAGAAATATCAGTCCGCATATTCATTGCTCGTGTAAAATTAACTAATAAATTATAAAAATATGAATGATAAATTATGAATTAAATATGGAAAAAGCTTATGATTCTATTTGTTATCATGTGAATCATTCTTTAATATTATAATTTTTAAAATATTTTTACTATCAATCTATATACTGTATCATATTAAACTCAAGATATTTATCAAAAATTATAATTTTATGATGCGAATTTTATTTAAAATTTCCATAATAAATTTTTATTTAATTCAATTGGTTCTAAATCATTGAATTAGTTCCAATTTTTCAAATAATTAATTAATTTAATTAGTTTATTTCAAATAATTTCCAATTTTTTTGAGTTATTTTATTTCAATTTATATTTATATATTTTATTATAGTTTTTTTATTTTATATTTTATTATAGTTTGATTCTGTATAATTCCATTCGATATGAAACAATTGGACTTCTGGTTATCCAAATAATATTATTAAAAATATCTCAAGAGTATTATATTCTTTAAATTTATAATTTATAAATCTTATATTATATATTTAAATTTATAATTTACTAAAAAATATATGACTTATAGAAAGTTATGAATAAATATGTACAATTATCTAAATGTAATCTTTTATATATGGTACTAACATGAATTTATAATACTAAATATTTTATTACATTATATCTATAAATAAATCAATAATTTTAAAATGGATTAATTTAATATAACTCATGTAATTGATAGGAATAGGTTACGATTAATTGCTTCCGTATTCAAATGTTATGAAGTTTTTATTATATTCTATTAATTAGCATTTAATATGCGATATGTGTTCATTAATACTGCTGATAAAATTTAAATATAAATTCTTATCATTTTTTTTTATATATTTTTTTTTAAATATTAGACATCAAACATTATATTTATTAAATGCATTCATTATTAATATAATTTTTATATATTTACATATCAGACCTATTAAAAGATCTATTCTATTATATTTCTTTTTTCAATTTGAATGAATATTTGAATGATTAATTGTAATGAATATAATTAATATAGATACAAATAATTTTCGATATTATTATGTTTCATTAAAAATATAACATAAAATGTTTTATTCATAGGTACATGCTGAATTATATATTTATATGCTGAATTCAATAAAGAACAGAAGAAAAAAATATTTTTACGTCGATTATATTGAGAGATGACTGAAAATATACGCTGAATTGAACACATTAAATACTAGGACGCTAGTGTGAACATTACGCGATCCCATCAATTCATTTGACCTGTGAACTTCAGATGATGGTGCGTTTAGGGCCAACGACACGCGTTCCAAGTATACGCAGCAGAGAAGATGCAATCTTCGTGGTTGGTAGTCCTCGTTTCATTGTCATCTCGTTTAAACCATTATTCTCTACATTGACAGTTATCCTAGGCAGTTAGCTTGTTTGCAAAGTGCACGTAATGCTCCACTTGCTTTCAGGCTAGTGTCGATCAATGAAAAGGCGACACTGAATAGTTTATAGTCAAAAAGCGTTTAAAAGCTTTGCGACTTTTAAACCGCTAGTACGATCACAAAGAATAGACACGCAAAGTGCGTTTGAATGAATATATTGTTGGCCTAGATACAGTTTTCCCGCCTTTTTGTGGTTGTAGCTATTATACATAGTTAATTCTTACCACCCTTTTCTAAGTATATGTTTTCTTGATATTATTTTTTATTTTTTAGATGCAGTGTGATAGTAAAAGAATAGAAACATCGATTGACATATCTTCATAATTAGTGAAGAAAATAATTACAAAGTTGTGACTTCTTACGACTGTTCTCAAGTTCTACTATGAAATTACAAACATTAATCGTAGCTACTGTATTAAGTTAAGGATATTTATAGACCAATTTTCTGTCTTGCGCAAAGAATTAAGAGTTCTTCAACCGCCAGAGTGTTTACGACAAAATTAAGGTAATTTATCGTAAAACGACGATGCGCAATCTCTTTCTGTACGGCTAAGTCTTTATTTTTCGTATCTTCCTCTCTTCATTTTCTCGATATTTGCATCTTTTTAATGAAGAGGCGACATCGAGTGGTTTTGAGCATCTTGTTCAGAAGCCTTTTCGATGCTTAACGATCTAGCAAAAAAGAAAGAGAAAGAATAAGGGATAAAGTAAGGCGAACGTTCGAAAAAGAAAGAAGGGAGAGAATCAGGTTCAAGATCGTTAATTCCGACTTTGCCGAGGCAGTTGGTGCATTCAAGAATGATGTGTAAGAGCTCCCGCTCGACGTAGAATCATGACTCGATCTCGATACGTATAATTCTCCAGGAGATTCGAGCTTGAATATAAAGATACCTGTATGGAGAGCATTTCTCTTGCGAGTAGTAGTTGACTTGCGAAAAATGCTACGTCCTTGAGGTAACTGATACTCGAGATCATGCTGTGACAGCGATATTGCAAACCTAGTGCACTATCGATGGCGTAATGGTTATATATACTGATATAATCAAAAGATTACTATGATTGTAAATATAGATATTTCTATATCTAAATTATTTATTTAACTTATTTATATCTTATTTTTTTCTTTCTTTTTTTCTTTTAATTATTATATAATATAATTAAGAATCAGGCTTTGGAATGAAATATATCATACGATTATAGAGATGAGTTAATACAAAGAAATAATATATAATCATTCTTATTTGATTCATAGAAAAAAATGACTCATAAGCGCTTTTGTAAACGATAAAAAATCCAAGGTTTCTTTTTAGAAAGTTGGATAGGTGTCAGTGCAACGACATTACTCGTGAAATATTTGTTTCGTTGATTTACTCTAATGAATGTGCTTATAGTGGAGAAGAGAGCGCATGTTAGCGCGCATTTAGCTAAGTTTAGCGGTGGTTTCAGATGGCTGGCACTGTTTTCTCGGCGATGTATTATCGAGGCGTTAACAGCATTACGCGCTTCGAACTTGTGGTTCGTTCAACCCTTGTAATCGCGAGAAGGTAGATCATAGCAATTGTTGCAGATTCAAAAATCATTCGAGCAAGAATGAAATCTGTATTTAAATCAAATCAAATATTCGTTTATGTAGATCCATCTAATCCATCTAAAAATTAAACGATATATTTATATGTTCTATAATTTTATTCCATTTTTCGATAATGAAGTTTCAGCATTTATCAAAAGCTATGATTAATTTTATGTGATGTATTTCAATATAACGGCGTATGCAATATTTTCTCGCGTACTTCATACTTGACCACCGCTGTTTACATTAGTTGCTTTGAAAGTGAACCAGCAGATGTGCATGTGCGTATAAACACTTGAATCCAGCTTTGGGTTCCAGAAGACGTTAAGGGAATTTCGTTACAGATAGTTTGTACGACATGTGAATACAACTGTTTCATTTCTTGTAACTTCGATACATTCGTTCCGTATAGACTAATAATATATAGATATTGCGATATATATAATATTGCGATAGTTCAAAAATCAATAGATTTGAGAATGATTTGACATAACGGTTCCATAGGTCAGATGCATACTACTGATCGATTTCCTATATTTTACTGTTACAGTGATATATGGAACTATATTGTGCGAAATGTCGAGTCATAAATAATTCTGTATTTGCTTACAATATTTCTCTTTATATAGTTTCCATCTGACATGAATTAGAACGATTTCATTGCTTTCTTCAAACAACATTCAAGGGAAATTTGATTTATATTCATCGACAATATTATACATCAATCTTGCGATTTGAGTAAATTATTTCATTATTAATGTAAGTATAGATACAGTATTTAAATAGATGAATTGCATTTTCTACTATGTTTCTAATATCAATTTAATCCGACAAGGAGATAACTGATATCGATTAAGATTAAAACGACAATAAGTATTCGCGACAATGTTAAGATTCACGTTTTCCGTTTGATACTACGAAAGCTGAGTGACCTCGTCTCTGAAATTCCGTTATATTCATCATGTGCAATCATCTCTAAGCTTGTCGTCTATCATATATCTTCTTGTCAACAATGATTAAAAATACACAATTCTTTCGAATTATATATAAAAAAATATCTTTTTAAAATTCATAAGAAACTTATAATTATATATGAATAGAATGAATTCCAAATTCTATGTTAAAGTATTGGAATAGAAAAATATGTAGATATGTATATTCTAAACATTCAATCGACAGATAATCTTTGTTAGCATTATACAATTTAAACAAAACTTCCAGAAACGATAGAAATTCTTCGCAACCGGGCTCTAACCGATTTCTATCCGTGAATCATCATCATCCGTTATAAGTCGAGTTTCCAAGTGAGAAGATATTTTTAAACAACAAGTTAACTCATCCTCCCAAGTTAACGAGTAAATACCATCCTATTAGTAGCGTGGCTAACGTGTATCACCATCGAACAATCGTTCTAATGGTCGTTACTCCCGATCGCGTAGGATGGTCTATCGAGAGCGCGCAGGAAGTGGCGCGATGATTACGTGTTGTGATTGGATTTTTCTAACAGAAAACGGCGGCGATTCAGAGGAACGAGGCACGATCATCTCTTAAAGAAAACTGGTGGATCGTATGACGGTGCAAAAGAACTGGATGCACCATATTCGGAAGCGGCACGGTTTCGTAAGGAAAGGCTCCACGTTGGCCGATGCCAGGCCAGGAAAGACTCACGCTCTCGTATCTTACGGCATACTTTGCTTCGGCTACGTGATCGCCATTTATAATATCCCCCTCGGCTTCCCTTCGATTCTCTCCATTATCTTGTATGCCTTCGAATGTAAGATAAGTACGACCGTTCATTCATTCATTCATCGCTGGCCAGTGACGTCCGCGTGTTTGTTCCGTTTCTTTTCGATTTATTTGTTTGCTCAAATATAGGACGAAAAATGCATAGCTTTCTGGATCGATTAGCGCCAGGGACTTTGATAAAGTTCTAAATGATTAATACTGTACTTGCGATGTTGATAGACTTAATGATGTTGAGACGTTTCACTTGGCATTTTCACAATAATTCGAGGATATGTGATCGAAGGCAATGGTGATAACTTGAAATAGGAATAGATGATCTGGCAGATTTGTGAAGGATATAGGATATAGGATATTGTTCGAGTAAGAATTTATAGCATAGGTCGGTATAAAGCAATATGATCGGAATCTGAATATTCTGGTTTCTGGTAAAAATGCGTCTAATGTATGCGGTTGCGTCGGGTTTTGAAGGACTCTGTTTAGATATCGGAGAAACGAGTGAAAGACTGTTTTGATCAAATTACGATGAATCATTTGAACAATTTACCTTTGTAAGTTAAACACTTGTAATAAGTCTCTGAATTTTGAAGGATGATTAGTTATTCAAACTTCCTATATGTGTACATCTATAAAATAAAATTCTCATGACTCTTGAAAAATCGCTAGTCGTACAGAATCTAACCAGGTATTTAAGCATCATACTTATGACTTTCTGTTGGCCGACCTAAATTTCAAGAGTTTACTGCTGCATCTACCGGGGTCAATGAGTGTCAACGCGATAGATGACGAGACGTCGTTGCCACGTCGACAATAATTTCGCGGTAATGTCGAAATGACAATGAAACCACTGCTCTTGTTTTAGGAACAAAATATTTAAATCAAAATTCCTTGCTCTTTTTTCAGCCGAATCATCATAATAACTGTGAGATTTGAATTATCCTTTTCCACAAATTTCTCGAGATAGTTGCGAGAATTTAATACATTATGTATAATATTATCATTAATAATATCATTATCATTAATAATTATCGTATAATATTTTTATATGATATGTTTTCATTTGAAATATTATTTATTAATTTTTTTTGATTATCCAAAATGTAATTGTACAATTATTTAATTATTAAGATTGATATATCATTGTGTATAAATTTATTACATTAAATTATAATATAAATGCGATAAATTGGCTTAGATTAAGAATAATTATTTTTCGATTATAATATAATGATTAAATATGTTGCAGATGAGCGGGAAGATGTGCAAAAGAAAACGTTTGCAAAATGGATAAATTCGCAATTACTTAAGGTACGTGTCATGTTTTTAAATATAAGACAAAAATATAGGAATATGTTAATATAATCAAATAATAAATTAAATCTTTATCGCAGAATCATCACGAGCCGATTTCTGATTTGTTCGTTGACTTACGAGATGGCAATCGGTTATTGTCTCTCCTGGAAGTTCTCACATCTAAAGTCTATGTAAGTATAGTATTTTCAGTATAGGTGAATGATTACATAAACGGATAGGTACGATAGCTTGTTACGAGACATACATGGTATTTTTATTTTACGTCTGATGTAATCTTTTAAACATTCCGCTGACAATTATTTTTTTTTTAAATGCTTCTTGGAGTAGCATGTCTCGTGTTTACATTATGAGCTTTACGAATAGAATTCCAAACAGGTGCGCCTATCGAGCATTACGAATATTTACATAAAACTGCTTAAGTTATCTATATATAGTAGGCGTAAGAATATTCCGAGCGAAAAATATGCATCGTTCCGCATATTTATGCTGTTTTATGAATATCTTAAATCATTCGGAAGAATCGCTTTATTTAAATATTCCTTTAAATCGCACTACTTATAATTCTTTTTGATGATTTTCTATAAAAAAAAAATCGTATACCTAATCTTATAATCTATTTGTTATTTACAGAAAAGAGAACGCGGTCGAATGAGAGTTCATCATTTGAATAATGTTAATAAAGCTTTGCAAATTCTTGAACAAAATAATGTAAGTTGCTGATATTTAATTAAGAAACGATATTGAAAGTGCAAACTAATGTTTCTTGTCATTCTTCTAGGTAAAACTCGTAAATATTAGCAGTAACGATATAGTTGATGGGAATCCTAAGCTAACACTTGGATTAGTATGGAGTATTATTCTACACTGGCAGGTCAGTTTTATGATTGGATTAATTTGTCTAGAATAAAAATTATCAGTATGTTTTTATTGTTGTGTGTTATCATTTTTGTTATCTTATGTGATTTTTTTTAAGTCATTGTTTGAGACTAAATTAAATGTTTTCTTAGGTACATTACCATCTGAAAGATTTAATGACAGAACTACAACAGACGAATTTAGAGAAAACTCTTTTAGCATGGTGTCGTCAGAATTCACAGGTGAAAATATAATATCGAATTAAAATAATATCTTTTTTAATTTATTGCTGTAATATATGATAAAATTTTGATATTTATATCGTTTTTAGAATTATTCTGGAGTTGATATTAAAAATTTTACTACATCTTGGTCAGATGGTTTAGCATTCAATGCTATTCTTCATAAATGGAAACCGCATTTATTTGATTTTAATAACATAGCGCGTAAACATCCCAATGCTAGACTAGATCATGCATTTCGTATTGCTCAGGAACAATTGGGTATTGAACGTTTGTTGGATCCAGAAGGTAATATAAATCAAAAAAATCAAATTAATATTAATTTTACTTCTATATTACAATATTTAAAAATTATATATTGTATTTTATGACAGATGTGAATACATCGGTGCCGGATAAAAAATCAATAATGATGTACGTTATGTGTCTTTTTCAATCATTACCTCATTCTGGAGATGATATAGGCGAATTAGATCTATCAGTAGCAAGTGATAGTAGCCCGGTTACTACTCCGGGAGCAGAGGTAACTTGATTTTATATTATTCGTATAATTTATAAAAATATATATAAAATTTATATTATATTTATATATTTATTTATATTTAATAATTTATAATTTATAAAATAAAAATATTTGTAGAATACATTATCTTTTACAAATTTTGGAACACCAACATCACGACCGATGAGTCTTGCAACAAACGTATCGGTAGAACTTGGTGGTTATCAAGTTGCTCTTGAGGAAGTTTTGACTTGGCTTTTGGAGGCAGAAGATAAATTAAATCATGCTCCAGATCCTGGATCTACTTTAGAAGTATTAAAGCAACAATTTCACGAACACGAATCATTTTTGGTAGAATTATCTGGCCATCAAGATGGTGTTGGTGCTGTATTGGAAGAAGGTGCGAGATTATTAGCGGAAGGCGGTTTACATAAGGATGAAGAACACGAAGTTCGTGTTCAAATGTCATTATTAAATTCTCGATGGGAAGGACTTCGAATGCGTGCAATGGAAAGACAAACTAAAATTCATGAGGTGCTTATAATAACAATAATATTAATTTTATATATTATTAGTAAATAATTCTTTAATTACTCTAGGTTCTTATGCAAATGCAACAAGGTCAGTTAGATGCATTACGACAATGGTTAACAAGGACTGAAGATAGAATTTCGCGAATGGCAGCTATTGAATTAAATCAATCTGCCTTAGATGAACAATTGAAACAATTGAATGAACTAGAGCAAGATATTGAGGCACAGCAGGGAGTTGTTGATGGTATGAGAAATATGGTAGTTGTTGTGGATGAAGAAAATTCTGAAGCAGTTTATGCGCAAATGGAAGATCAATTATCTGCTCTCGGAGAGCGATGGACTCACATTTGTCAATGGAAAGAAGAAAGGAGGCAACGTTTGCAGGCTCTTTCTTCACTTTGGCAAAATGTTAATGATGACTATAAAAGATTAATGTCATGGTTGAATGAAACTGAAATTACTTTAAAACAAATGGAAGCAAATCCTGCTTCCGAAATTGGTGAAGTACTTGAAAGAATTAAAAAATTACAAATATTAAAAATGGATATGGATGAAAATCAAAGAAAACTAATGTCATTACAAGAATCAATTCAAGAACTGGAAGGACAAAATACTTCACCAGAATGTATTAATATACTAGAAAAAATCGAAAATTTGCAAGATCGATGGGAAGCAGTGGGACAAATAATGGAAGTGCAGACACAAAGGGTAACATAAAATTTATTTATTTTCTATATATTATTTATTTTCTATCTATACAAAAAATATTTTTTATGTAATATTAGATAACAAATTCGGGATTTGAATTCGATCTGAAGACTGAGAGGGAAACAACTGTAGTTACAGGCAATGAATGGATGTCGGAAACAGTAACAAGTATCGCTTATAAAGAAGAAATTACTGCAACTGTATGTTTGCGAAAAATTTTATAAATTTTATAAAATATTTATTACATGAATTTATATTTCTTATATTTCTTATATCTATTGTTTTTCTTTTCAGTCTACACCTCATAGTGATTCAAAGAAACGTCGTGTAGATAGTACAAATAGACATGAATTTGAGTCAGCATTACATAATCTGTATAAATGGCTCGATTATGTTGATTTAGAAATTGGACGATCGGAGGGAGTATTTGACGAATTAAGTATCGAAGAAAAGAAAGTTGTTTATAATGATACAATTGCTGATATAGAAGCACATAAAAATGATTATGACAAAGTTTTAGAATTGGGGAAGCAACTTCTCGAAGAATTAAAAAATGCTAATGAATCGATTGAAACAGATGAAACAAAAATTAAAGATATACAGAATTGTTGGATGGCAACTAATAGTAGACTTGAAGAAATAAGAAATCGTATAGAATATCTAGAAGAAGTAAAAAAATTTCGAACAGAATTGGCTAGTTTGAATTTAATGTTAGATAGCTATTCTAAATGGTTTGATTCAAACAAAGGAAACAATCAAGTGGAACCATTTAGAGTAATATTGTTTTGTTTCTTTAAAATACTTTAAAATAATTTTCTTTAAAATATTTTTTTTTTAAAAATCTAAATAAAATTTTAAATAAAATCTTAATTTAAATATAATTTTTGTTTAGGTGAAATTGAAATCAATGAAATCTCATGAAGAACGTATAAAAAAATTGTTAGAAAAAGCCAAAGAATTATCAGAAAATCAAACTGGTATTAATGAAACTATCAATTTAAATGAAGATATACAAATGTTTGTTTGTAACTGGGAAAAATTATATAAAACGTAATAATTTCTTTTCGGTATTTATATTGATATATAAAATTTTATACAATTTTAATAATTTGCTAATATCATTTCAGATTATCTGAAAAATTAACTGAATTAAATGATGCCGTTGATAAAACACCGCCGAAGAAATATACAGATGCAGTTACTAATCTCACTTCTTTTATTAATAATGTGGAAAGTATGTTATTATCAGAACATATAGTAATGTCAGATGATAAGACAATGACAGAACAATTACGAAAATTCAGCGATTTGCAAAATTCTTTGAGAGAGCATCAAGAAGTTTATAATTATGTGAACAGTGTTGGACATGAATTAATAATGAAAACCAATGGAGATTCTCAGGGTCAAAGACTTAAAGATGCATTACAAGATCTTATTACTAAATGGAGCGATATACCCATAATATTAGAAGAACGTCAACAAAATTTGCAAAAAGGTATATATATATATATGTATGTATATATGCGCGCGTGTCTGTTATTTTTTTAATTTTTATATGAAATTTTATTTTTTTCTTTTTTTAAAAATATATGTTAATCTTTCGTAGATATTCAATCTTTAAAAATATTCAATAATGAGCTTACAGAGCTTGAAAATTGGTTTGAAAAATCAAGCCAATATTTAGAAGAATTATCAAAAGATAATGTATCAAATGATATTGAAACTATGGAATTTAAATTAAAACAGATTCAATCTTTTTGTGAAGATATAAATGAAATGAAACCAAAAATAGAAAAACTCCAAATTTCTACAAATAAATTACTTGAAAATTCTGAACCAAAATTTGCAAATGTGTTAAACAATAAGTTAGAAGTTGTGTCGCATAAATGGAATGCTATCGTTGACGGTGCTAAAAGTTTAAATGATAAGTATGAGGATACATTGAAAAAAAATGATGAAATAATAAATGGAATAGAAGACTTTACAAAGTGGTTATCGACTTTAGAAAAAGAAATACCAATTGAAACCAAAATAACATCTTCTGTTGAATTGTTTCAAGTTCGTGGTCGATATCAATCATTAAAAGAAAAGATAGATAAGCGAGTAGAAGAATTTAGAAATCTCAATGAAATGGGCAATGATAAATTATTAAGTTCTGAAGGATCTTCAGTGCAAGAACTTGGTAGACGATTTACATTTTTAAATGCTCGTTGGACCGATGTTACAGATCGTATTTATGAACGATATAGACATTTACAAAATGCTAGCCACGAATATGGTGAATTCCGTGCTTTAGTTGCACAAGAAAGTGATTGGTTGGATAAATTAGATAAAAGATTAAGAAGATCAACAGAAAGAGCTGCAGATGCTGAAGAAATATCAGAAGAACTTGATGTAAGTGTACTTACTATATACTTAATATAATTTATATATTGGACAAGTTACTATAATTTTTAAAAAAATAATAAATATTTGCCTTGAAAAGGATTTAGAAAATTATATACGAAATCATCCAGAATTAAGACTTGAAAAAATACAAGAAATAGGTAAACAGTTGATTGAAAGTAATATCATGATTCAGTCCATTCAAACAGATGTAGACAATTTAACAAATCGTTGGGAAAGCTTAAATAATCAGGTATGATGATCATTATATGTAATGTTATGCTTGAAATATTTTGTTCATAACAAAAAATTATATTTATGTTTAACTGCATGCATCATTGGCAAAAAAATCTATTTATTTATTTAAACATATTCATTGATTAGTTTTTTTATTCTGCTTCAAAATATTACTGTTGCTTATATGAATTATAAATTTTTTTCTTTGTTTAATAATTATTATTTGGATAAATTTTAAAAAATTTTCAATATTCTTAGGCAAATAATTTTTTTATATTTATATTATATCTTTTTAAATTTTAAATAATTTTTTACATGAAAATTTTGTTGTTAAATATTATTTGATAATATATATTACACAATCTTTATTGAGTTATATAGAAAATTAGAATTATATTTTGAGTAGGCAGGGCAGCGAGCAAAGCTGCTAGAAGGATCAGTGAAGCAAGCACAACAATCAGAAGGACGTATTCTTGCCCTTCAGCATTCCTTAACACAAATAGATTCTGTACTAACAGCACGTCTTGACTGCGACCTTACAGCTGATGATTTGCCTCATGATTATCAGGTCTGTTAATGAAATTTTTGTTATTTATTTATTGAACATTTATTTAAAAAAATATGATTCATTTACAAATTAATACAAAAGTGTAAATATAATATGTATACTAAAAATGTAAAAATCATCTTTTGCTCTTACATTAATAAACATTGTATATAAAACATTGCTTCTAAGAAGCATGATAGAAAAGTTATTTGTATTTTATATTTTGCAAAAATATAAAATAAAAAATATATAATACATTTTTTTTTATTATAAATCAGGAGAAAAATTAGATAAATATAAATTTTCTTCTGATATTAATTATATAAATCAAACTTTAGAAATTAATGGAAGAAATGGAACATCAACGATCTACACTTCAAGAAATGGCATTACAAATTGAATCCTACAAGGCTTCTGGTAAACAAGAAGCAGCACTCAGATTACAAGAACAACTAACTCTCATTGAACAGAAATTCTCTGAAGTTCAACAGAAATTTCAACGTTTTCGATGTCCAACGAATTTAGAACCAAGATTATCCAGAGCTTTACGAGAACTCAGAGGAATAGAAGAAGCAACTTGTTTATTAGAATTGTCATCAGAAGATCCAGAAGCTATTGAAGGTCAACTTAAACATTGTCTGGTAATAAATTTATTATATAAATTATATATTTTGATAAATTCAAATTTTATACTTTATTTTTTTATAGCGTTTTTATCAAACATTAAGTGAAATTAAAAGTGAAATAGAAAATATTATAATAACTGGTAGAAAATTAGTTGAAGAAAAAAGTGTCACTGAACCAGAGAAATTTTCGCGACGAATTGATATGTTAAAAGAATTATATAATAAGGTAATACGCGTAATATCAATGTATATATTTTTAATAAAATATTATTTTCTATATAAAAATTTATGTAAAAATTGTATTATTATAGTTGGGTTTACATATAACTGAATCAAAAGCATGTTTGGAAACAGCATTGGATTTATCACGCGATATGTATAAAAATATGTCTTATATTAATATGTCTATAGATAGTATTAATAAAGAATTAGATAATCAAAAAAATATGCCTGATCTTCCAGTTAATGCGATATATGTACGAGTAAGTATGTGATTAATATATAAGTACATAAATTTAAATTTTACGATTTTTTATAAAAACAAATAACTGTGAAATTGCTTAAATAGGAAACTTTGACAGAAGTAATACCACGATTAAACGTTGTAAAAGATAAATTGTTAAATTCACAGGATGAATTTTCTAAACTTTGCGATCCTATGTATTTAGAACAACTTAAAGAAAAATTATCAGATGTTGTTATTAGATTAGCAAATACTGAAAAAAGATTAAGATTATGTAATGCTTCAGAGGTAAATTTATTATATATAAAAAAATTAATATTAATATAAAGTGATTCAAATATTTGAAATATTTGAAATGATTCAATTTTTATATTTTTAGGAAGAGCCTAATGTTGATGAAATAAAAGCATGGCTTTTACAAGTTGAGGAAAAACTAAATAAATTAGATAGTGTTCCAGTTGATCAATTGACGGAAAATCACTTTGAACAATGCAAAGTAAATAATGATTTTTAATTGCAATATATTAATTAAAATTATATATTATATATATTTTTAAAATTTTTTTCAATAACTTATGTTAATTTTTAGGCTGTTCAAAGCGAAATGATTGAAGCAAAACCAAAAGTCAACCAACTACAACGTTATACTTATTACCCGAAAGTTTCAGATGTTTGTAAAAAATGGGAGGATATATCTAATAGAATTCAAGTACGTATAAATATTTGTGTAATAAATTTAAATATCATCCATTGCTTGTTTTCTCATTGCTTGTATTGCTTCTTCTTTATCTTAACATTTGGTATATGTAATGCTTGTGCTTTATAGTACCATTACGTATATCTTATCAAAAAAAATTTTCATTTCTTCAATGATGTAATAATGATATAACTATTTCAATGATATAATTATGAAATTTTTATAAAATAATGTTTCAATTTCAATTGAAAAATTAGTTGATGCAATACGCAAAAGTTTTATGTTTGAAGTTTAAAGTATAGTTTAATTAATAACGCATTAATTATTAATTTATAGCAATTTTATTTTTTATTTTTTTTTATTAAATTTTTTTATAATTTATATAATTTTACTTATTTTCTACTTATTTTTTTAAATTTTCTAATTTTTTAAATCTTTTAAAAATTTACACATAAATGAATTATATATATATTAAAATATATTATTTAAGTTCGATTAATATTTCATATATTTAACACTTCATTGTGTGTCTGGGTATTATACTATATAAGTTATATTAGTAAGTTTTATAGATCATTTTGATCTTGTCCAAGAGGTGTCTCTATCTATGTAAATAATATTGTCATTATTAATAAAAAGCAGATATAAACTTTGGTGAATGGAAAATATTTGTTTATGGATCATTTATGATATTGTCTCTCCCCTTATGTAGATTTTTATACAGAAGTCTGAATATGATTTGTAAAACAACGAATAAAAAATGAACAGAAATGTACTCCAAAATTTTTGTACTGGTGATGGATACACGCAACGAAAAAGCTTTGTTTGCACAATGAAATGCATTGTCACTTTCATTTTGGCCATGCTTGATATTGTCATACTATTAATAATGCTCTTTCAATTAACTGTCGCCTGTCCATGAATTTTCTGTTACCTATCATATTTTCACAGGAATGGATCCACAAAATCACAGACAGTTTATTAATAAAAAGTAAGATGGGAGAAACAAAGGGGAGAGACAATTATGGACGTACTAAATTGTCTAGACAGGATCAAACTTCAATGCAACTAGCTAAAAAAGAAAATAAATTAATAGATGAGAATGAGGAAATATATGGCATAGGATATCTTAATCCTGCATTTGATGAAAGTCAATGTAATATTATTTGTACACCTGAAAGTTCACCAGTTGATATTGTTCATCGAAGCCGGAAATCTTCCGCAAAATCTGAGAAAGTAAAAGCTAAAATTGTAGATGTTAGTAGAACTGTTAGACGAAAATTAGACATGAGCTCTATACCCGATGTTGTTCAGACTTCTCAACCACAAGTTGTTCATATTGACGACGATCTATCTTCTTTATCTCCTGATACAGATGTATACATGGCCGACGAAGAATTTTTTTTGTCCAAAAATAGCACATTATTTTCTCAAGTTTCTTCTAATACATTAATTACGACAGAATCGAAACCATTAAACTATAACACACAGATGAATCCCTTTCGTATTGTAGAAGTAAAAGAAATGGAAATAATAAAATCAGTTGCATCTCCTGAAGATCACGTAATATTACCAAGTGCAAATGTCAGTGCAGGATTAAAGCCACAAGTTGTTGAAAGAGTAGAAATTATTGAAGATACAGAAACTGAACCAGAATCAGTAGATACAGATACAGAAGATAAAGAAACTAGAATAAAAGTTTGTAAAAATGCAATTAGTAATGGAAATCAAATTGTTAATAAGAAAAGAGAACTTATTCCTATATTGAAGAAAAAAAAAATAATAGATTCATATTCTGCAAAAAATATTAAAAAATTAACTCTGAAATTAGATGTTGAGGATATTTCAGCTGATAATCAAATTTCAAATTATAAACCACAATTTTCATGTAAAGTAAACAAATTAGAAAAAAACTCCGCGTGGAAAGATAAGGATAGCATAGCTGAATATCTTATACTCGAAGATAATGAAATAAGTACAAAATCAAGATGTTCTGCTGATCTTGTTCTCACATCAGGAATTAATTCTACAAAAAGCAAAAAAGAGCTCAGTAATGTTAAAGAATTAACATTTGAAAAAAATGCAGATTTTTCAAAGTTGCATGGTAATGAAAATCATAATAATGATTATGAAAAAAATATAAAATTGATGTTATTTAGACGTGCTAGAAGTATTTCAAAAGATGATACACTAGAGGATTGTGAAAGCTTTTACGGAAGCGATAAAGAAACAGATGATGTTTTAATTTTTTCCGATGATACAGAAATTGATGTTGGAAGTTCCAGTTCAGAGGGAGAAGATTCAAATTCAAAGGAGCATATTGAGCACCTCTTGGGCAAGGTAATTCTAATAGCATTTATCTTGCCATTGTAAGATCTATCTCTATGTACAATGTATGCATATATTAATAATACAATTCGTAATAGTAACAATTAGAATTTTAACATTTGATAGATATATATAATATAGGTGAAGGCTAACATATAAATGTATAAAGAAATTTAATTCATTATGGATTTTCTTATAATTTTGTTGTATATAGATACAGACTGAAAAATTATCACAAGAAACACAACATAAAAAAGAGACGAAGATTTCTAGTGATAAGAGACCTTTTAAAATTTCAACTAGTTTATCCAGAACAGGCTTAGAAAAAAGTATTTTGGAATTTGAACAAGCTGCACAACGGATGTTACATAGGATGGATGTCATGTTGATGAGTATCAGTGGAATCAGTAATGAAAAAGATCCAACTAAACGACTCGAAGTTTGTATTATATTTTTTTAAAAATTTTTGTAATTGTAATATTAATAAATCTAAAATAATATATTTGAATATTAAAAATTAAGATGTTAAAAATTTAGAAATGATTCATAAACATTAGTAATTTTACAAATAATTTTAACGTTTATATAAATTAAAAATTGTCAAAATGTATATATATTATATATAAATATGTATATAAATATGTATATATTTGTGAAATATATTTCAAAATGTTTTACATGTTTTTTAGTATTATGAATTATACATTTGTTTAATATATGTTTATATATTTCAGGTACTAAAAGGAGAAGTTAGTACTCTTGCTCCAGATGCAGCAGCTTTGATTAGTAAAGGTGATGGCCTAGTTATGACAGTACATATATCTGATCCTGTTAGAGCTGAGAAGATAAAAAATGAACATCAAGATAAATTAAGAAGCAAATGGCATCAAGTTATGTCCGAAATAGAAACGAGACGCACACAAGCACAAAGAGGAGAGGAAATGTTAAGACAATATAATGCTATAATAACAGAATTTGAAGATTGGTTTCGAGATGTACCATTAAAACTTGAACAAGTAAATAATTATGAGGGGCAATTAGAATCTTTTACTGTAGAATTTGATGCTAAACAAGAACAGATTAAAAAATTAAATGAATTAGCGGTTGAATTAAAAAAATTAAATATTGGGTATGCTGAAACTATAAGATATAGCATTAACAGTAGATGGCAAGAAGTTAGTTCACAATTTAAAAGATTTAGTGGTAGTAAGGATAAGGACAAACATGTGACAGACAAAAAAGTTGAAATGGTATGTTAATATTTTCTATTTTTTTTTAATTTATCGAATAATTTTTTTTTGATTTTACATTTTCCAGGATGTTGGAGGAGTTGATATGCAAGAATTTACTGCCAGAGTTAATAAAATTAGAGAAGCTGTTGTAACTGTGACGAGATCTTTAAATTCCGTGCCATTGAATGGTGATGATTATGAAATTTTTTCAAATCAAGAAGAATGTTTAAAAAAAATTAATAACGCATTAAATATTTTAAAACCAAGCATTGAAGAAATCAATACTATTTTTGAAAATGTTGCTTCACAGTTAAGAAGAGAGCAAGGCGAACAAATTAGACGTTTGAGTGATAAATTACGAGATGAATGGATAAATGTTAATCAAAGTTATGTAGAAAGATATAATCGTTGGAATAAATGTTATGAAAAATGGAAAGAACTTTGCAACACATGTCGGTCTTTTTCCGATTGGTTAGATAAAACGGAAGATTCATTAAAAAAATTAAATTCTCTTGGTCAATCTAAAATATCAAGAACAAAAATATTTGAATTGGAACAAGAGATTTCTAGGATGCAAAGAATTATGAATAATATTAACGTTTCAAGTGCTAGTATTTTAACTCGTGCTAAAGCTGAAGATATGATAGAATTAAGAGAAATGATTGAAACTATAAAACGACGTTGGCAAAATATTATAACGGACTTAAATACACGAAAAGAGAAGTATGAAAAAATATTAATTAAGATTTATTTTATAATATATATTATATATTATATTATATATAATATAATAATAAATATATTTATATTTTTCATGAATTTATTAATATATATATTAATAAATATATTAATAAATAAAATAATAATTTATTGTTTAATTTATATGTAGCATAGAAAGCTAAGCTTTTTCTGCTACTGAGTTATTTCAGTTGTGATTTGTCTTTAGTGCTGTAGTAATCAACTCAGAATAGAAAAGCACAGATTAAATTATATTTAAATTATATTTAAATTATATATAACATTTAAATCTTTTTTATATATCAATTTTTTTTCATATTCATTTTAATATTTGAAAATTTTTTAAATAATTTAATTATTAATAATTATTTGTATTAATGCTTTTTAAATTGATACATTAATTTAATAATTATGCGATTTTTAAAGGAATTTTGCTATGGAAAAAAAAGTGAACAATGAAGGCAGAATTTTAGAAAGTGCTCATAATATATTAGAGCAAATCAATTCTTTATTGGTGTCAGCAGCAAATCCTTCAGATGAGACTTCTTTATCAATAAGATTGTCATTAATTAAGGTAAATTTATGCATTTATAAAATAATTAAAATTTTAAGAAAGCATAGTATAATTAAAATTTATTAAAATCATATTATTTATTTAATTACAACATTGATATATACAATTTTGATGTTTACTGATTATATAACTTTATTATGAGTATGTTTCACATCACTCATATTATATTATATAGTTTTAAATACAGTTTATTATACAGTTTTAAATTGAATTATTAGTTGATAACATTTTTAGTAAAATATGTAGTTCAATAATAATAATTTAACTTGACTGTTATAATGTTATCAAATAAACTGAAACTGAATCTAATAATACATTTCATGTCATGATTGCATAAAGTAAAGTGTGCCAAGACATAAATAGCAACTCTTATTTTCTATTTCTTTTAGTATTAGATATAAATGTTAAATGTAAGTTTATATTTTTTACACATAATAGATTTTTTAAAATTCTATATAATATAATATATAAATAATTTTTATTTTTAGGCTAGACAAGAAGAACTTTCTTCTCGCAAAAGATCATTACAAAATTTAATAATAAATCAAAATGATATTTCTTTAGGAGAAGATGAATGTAATAAATTACTTTCAGATATGGATAAGGTATCATATTAAATTTATTTATAATAAATCATATATTATTGTTTATAAATAATTATAATTTAAATTATTTTAATTAATTTTTTAGGCCAATATAAGCCTTTCCAATCACCGTGACTATGTTGAGAATAAACTTGTATCTCTTAAAAAATATATTTGTACTTTGGATACTATTATGGCTTGGGTCATGGAAACTAGAGCGAGAATAAATATATCCCGAGAATTACCTCAACAAGAACGAGTCGAAATTGTTAACAATATTATGGTAAATATAAAAATATGTATATATTTATTATAAGAAAAAATTAAAAAAAATAATTTATTTTGTAGACCAAAGTTGAAGATCGAGAAATGGAAGTAAAGGATGTATTAGAAAATTATACTAATTTAGAGAAAGAATGCGAATCTGCAAAACAACCTATTTCTGTAGAATTACAAGTAAGTAAAAAATAATACAAAATTGAAAATTTTTAATTTAAATACAATTTTAATACAATTTAAGTAGAATTTAATATAATTAATTTAATACAATTTTAAATAAAAAATAGAATTTTTTTTAGAAAAAATAAAATTTAATATAATTTAAATAGAATTTAATGAATTTAATACAATTTTAAATAAAAAATAGAATTTTTTTTAGAGAAAATAAAATATTTGATTCAAATATTTAAATATTCTAGTTATTATAAAGTACCAATAATAAAAGGAAAATGTTACTATATTTACGTCTCTAGTTATATAGGAAAAATTAATTTTAAAAGGTGGCGCTCTGATTAATGTAAGTCAGTTTTATTCGAACTAGCGTGTGTGACAGGTGGATGATTGTTCGTAACTTTTATTTCAAGTTTTGTGATCAATTTTCTGTTCAGTTTTGTGTATTTTTAATAGGAAAAGTTAAAAAAATTACGAGAAGATTGGCAATTTGTGAAAAACAATGGAGAATTATCAAGTTATGATGTCAAAACTGCAATTGCTATTGGAACGGCGTCATCAGGGATCGGTGAGTTTTTCTTTCCTTATATAAATCAGAATTAAGAAATAATAGCAGAAATATAACGTTTTTGTAGTTCTATATAATAAGTAGAAAGTTTCTAATATCATTATTAACTAATATTAACTAATATTCATATGAATTTTTTCATTCTACGCATATTGCGCATTTCGTTTTTGCATTCTATTGCGCGGGAAAAGTTCAATTTGAATGTTCGTAATTTAGTAGTAGTTCGTAACAACCATAAGATGGCATATTTGTCGCTAATAATAAAATCGTGTTTTATATTACAAAATATATAACTTTCAACAATTACTATTAATTTAAATATTTTTTATTGACAAATACATATATAAAAATTTTTATAATTTTTTTTTTATTTTAATTTTTTTTTATTTTGACAAATATATGTATTTTTCATTAGATTTTTAATAATTTATTTATTTAAAATCATATCATCTGTTAATTTTTAAGTGTTTAAAAATGTTTATATTTCAAAATTAATTTTAATATAAGTATTAAGCATAAAATTTTCAAAAATTTTAATTTGAAATTAAAAATTATGCATCTTGTTGCATCTTGGTAGGATAATTTTTTTTTTATGTAATAAAATTATTCAACTAGTATAGTATAATATAGCCGTATATAAATATCCGTTGTTTAAAAATTTAATAAAAATAAAAGCCATACTAATTCTTAAATATGCGTTCTTTGCGACTGTTGGGGAATTTTCCAAAAAATCTGGTAACTGAACAATAAATAGTCCGTTTAGTTGGTTCGGTAACTGTAGCCACATATCACTTCCACTCCATCTCGTGGAACGATATATATCCGCCACGTTAAGTGCAGTCTTTTCATCGAGTAGCATGGCTTTTTTTTTACTTTTGTTGCACGATCGATCTATGCATTCAGAATCGTCGACGACGATAAATTCTCCCGATCCGTTCTGTCTTTAATTAAAATTCATTCTAACGACATTCTCGTCCGAATCTTTTGATAGAAATCTAATCGACGCTATAAATTGATACGATCTTAACCTCTATAACTTTATATCTATATACAATAGATTTTCTTTTTTACGAGCAAAGTCGGTGATCGTAAAAACTTTGAACGCGCGGCGGAATTATTGTTATTAAAAAGCTTAAGTTCGATTTAAGCTTCGGTAATCGACGTTGAATTAAAATTTTGTAACAGGCCATATGATTTGGAATCGTGTTAGGTTAATCGCGGTTGATTCAGGAAGGAAGAACGTGAGCGTGTTGATCCAAAACCGGAGAGCTTAACGGAAAGGTCGAGGGTTTGTAGTATAAGCGCGATCGTCGGGCCGCATAATGAGCGGATAAGCCGCCTAATGTAGTCGTGGCAGAACACTAGCAGATTGAAGATAGCTAAGGCTTCGTTGTTCTCTGTCTTCCTTGTTCCTCCCTTTCTTACCGTTCTTATCGTCCTTCATTGTCTTCCACTTCGGTGTTACATCAAGATGAAATCAGATTCGTTTGACGGAAATTTGAAGGGTCCAAAAATGGATTAAGCCTAAGCTTTGATCCATCTTCCGGAATAATATATATTATTCCTCTTTTTTATTTTATTTCTCCAGTTAATCATTTTCTACGTTTTTTTATCTTTTCGAATATTGCTCGAAATTATGATTGAGAGAGAATCAACGGGATTTCTTTGTGTCCGATCGATTGGAGAAAAAATTTAGGTCTCTTTTTTTATGTCCCCTAAGGGAACAGGATGCATAGTTAATTCATGTCGTTTTTCTCGTAGCAACGTTTTCTTCTAGACAATGATTCCTTGTCGCGATTAAATATATAACATTAATCGATTGATTCTTTGATTCATTACATTAGGGATTATTGCATTATGTGCATTTACTATTTTTTTCTATTAATAATTTTTTAAAATAATCTTTGATAGAAAATAAAGTAAAATAAATTAGATTAGGTTCTTTTTAAATTTTTATTATTAGAATTATGATATTTAAAAATAAAGCACATATATTTTCGTTAATATCCAATGGAATTGAAAGAATCACAGAAATTTATCGAAATTCATCGTTGAAGTATGAGTATTCCGTAGTTGGTTAGTTTATTAGCACGTAATGAAAAAGCTGATTAGCTTAGGATGGATTCTCGGTAACTTTTATGCAATATAATATTTCGATATTCGAATGGGAAAGCGGATTGCAGGTTGATTCGAGCTGATGCGATTAGTAGAATATATTGTGAGCCATGATCACGTTAACGGTGAATTACGCCAATCCTAGAAAAGCAGCTTTCAACGGGCCTAGCATGTATATATCGAGAAACGGATGTTCACCTGAACAAACTCGTTTCTCGTTAGCGAGAGAGCTCATTAAGACTTTCATGTTCCTGTGGTCACGTTTTTTGCCTAGCGTAGCAACATGGATTGAAAGGGGTGAAAAAAAAAAAAAAAAGGAAACGCACGAAACTTTGGTCCTAGAGTGCTTTTTAGCATCCATCATCAATACGAGAAATGTTCAGTCATTTATTTTCTTTCTTTTTTTTTTTTCCTCTCGCTATTCTTATTAATTTACTTATTATAATATTTAAACGTGACAAATCATTGATTATATTTTCCAGAGAATTAGGAATTAAATGTTTCATTTTTCAGTATGAATAAAAAAATCATACGTAAATTATCTTTCAACGTATTTCACTTCATTTATACACACGATAGATCAATTCGAGGGATAGTATTTGTGTTTTACGCGGTATGGTTGTGATATCAACGGAGGGGGGAAAAAAAAAAAAAAAATAAAATTTCCGAATACGCAGGGATACGCAGGGATGAGAAATATTGGATGTTACGTTGCTTTGCCGACACAGGGATTGTACTGTGCTAATTGCAAATAGTCTGTTGTACGAGAGACAGCTTTTTATGCGGCGACTGGTAATGACATCCGCCCCGCGCAGCTGACCCTCTATTATTTCTCACCGGTGCTTTCCTATCGAACAAAATCCTCTTGGCAGGAGAACCCGCGTATTTATCTTGCCCCGAATTTCGAATTTCGCCTATCAAAGCGCGCATTCAGCCCTTTTCGTCATAAATGCCCCCTCACCCCCTCTCCCCATCCAACGATAATTCCTTTTTAAACTCTTGACCGAACAATGAATCTCGAAGTGAAAAGTCGCTTTTCGACTTGCGCCGAATTAACAGCCGTTCTTCGATTGGTCCACTTCGGTTCGTGCAAATTCGCCACAACTGGAGTGTCCTCTGGACGGCGAGGAGGGAAAAGTGGTGGAGTATCGTTAAATATCGTGGAATATCGTTGTCCGGATAATTTATAGATCCTTTTGGGGATAAATCGAATAACAAGGAGATCCTTCGTTCCTATTTCGTTCCGTTCTTTTATTCCATCTATTGTTATTACCTACGTAATAAAAAGGTTGAAGAGAAAGGAAAGGGAAGGAATTTTCGCAAAAATTTAGAGACTTTATTCGAGACTTGATTCGATTTCAATCAATATAAGCGACGCAAGTTGCGAGGAAGTGAAAAAGACGAGGAAGGGAGTTGCCAGGGATTTACGTCGCGAATAAGACGAAGGGCACTTTTGGGGGATCTAATAAGAGGCAGCTTAGCCATGAAATTTTATTGTAGTACGAGAAAGGTTCCAGTGGTGATGGGGCGGTTTCGTCGTGCCATACGTTACTGCTACGCATGAATGCTCGCAGGATAGGTGTGTGCGGGCTGTGCGTAATATAGGACAGTGGTGGTATATATAATCCCACCGCGTACATAGGTTGTAGAGAACGAATGACGAGGGGTGGACGGATGAGCGAAATAATGGTTTTTTGGGGTTGCGTTCGACGCTGAAATATGTATCACACGATGGTGACCGCGCATTACCGGCAATGAGATTTTGTATTAAACAGTAATGGAAAATTGTTATTTAAACTTTCGTTCGGATCGTATTTATTTTTCGATATCGATTTACTTTATTAATTTCTACTCGCTTGCCGCGAGTTTGACGCCAGATATTCTGCCATTCTTTTTTCCTTCTTTCGACAATATATACGTTATTTATGTTTCATATACGTTTTGCCCAAATAATTATTTTGATTCCATTATCGCATCTCTCATATTATTAAAAGAAGGATGATTCGATCGAAGATAGAAATGCAAATATATTTCTTGTCTAGGTCGAGAGATGAAGCTCGTAGATTTCTTCCAAACGTCAATCGATCGAGATACATTCGTCTGGATAGAACTTTGCATTCCTCTTATATTCCTCTTATATTCGTTTCCATTCCGTTCCCTGGATATGTTCGATTCCGTTCGCTCGATTGAACGAGAAATTTGAAAGAGGCGCACGTGTGTATCAAAATCGTTTTTTTTTTTTTAACTCGTTGAAATTTTTATCGTTAATATATTTTACAAATTTCTTCCCTTTATATAAAAATATTAATCACTTTACAAAAATCACATATAGATAGACCTTACAAATATATAGATGCGTATATATTAACACGTTAAAATAGAATAAACTTGAAATTTAACTTTCCATAAAAAATAATCAAACAAAAAGACCAATAGATGTAACAAAGCATAAACAACGTAAAGCCATATTATGAAATTAACCGAATGTGATATCCTGTCCTCGTTTGGCTCTTTCATTGTCGTGGGGAACAACGTACAAGAATCTCTGAAATAAATATCGATGTGAACGAATCATCATCGTCTAAATATATTTCAATCGAAATACTTTCGACTATTTGTCATTTTTTTACCTGTATCGCTTTCTTCGAGTTTCTGATCGAAGTGATTTGACAAATTTTCTCGATCGTTCGACCCGTAAAACCTTTCAGAGGTGATTGAATGGTCGTGCGCCGTGTCATTACAGTTTTATTTGGGTCGTAGTAGCTGGGTACGTACTCCGTCGTTTCCGAGGCGACCAACAGCTTCTTGTGCTCGAGATTTCTCGTTAACGAGATCAAACGTTTCGTGTACAGGTCGATGATAACCTCCTCGAGTATCGGTATCTG